ATCATCATCAATATTATTATTATTATTATAATCATTATTATCATTATCATCATTATCATCAATATCATCATTATTATCATAATTATTACATGTACTTAGTTTTAAATGTTTGTTGTTTTTTGTGTGTCTGCGTTTGCTTGTTTGTCCTTGTGCGTATTTGTTTGTTTGCTTGCTTTCTATTTTGGGGAGGTGTTGTTATTGTTGTTCTTCTTTGGTAAAACTGTGACGATTTAATTGGACTTGGATACCATCGTTCCTAATACAGACAATTTAATTGAACCGACAACGCAGCTAAATAATTAACGAAATTTTAAGATCCCAGTCAGACAGAGAAAGCCAAGATGTGCCGTTCAGTTTGTTGTATGACTGTTTGTTTGTCAGTTTGTTATTGTTAAGTTTAACGGCACTCGCAACTGCATAAGGTCATATTATGAGCGTGAGTATGGCGGTTTATACCAGTACCGTCTTCTGAAGGCAACATGGCTTGCAGGTTTATGTGGTGTAAACGTGTCGCTACATCAGAATTACATAGTTCTATCTGACACTTTTGGCAGTTTTGAGTTACTAAGACCATCATGGGGTCAGAAACCAATACGCTTTATCTGTTCCATGAAAATCGTAAGATTATTCGGAGTCGTTCTCAAGATGTTCAAAGAATAGCACTCGAAAAAAATCTTGACATGGTGTGCAACCAATAACAATCTTTGACGTCAAATTTCTCCAAACTAGGCACTGAGATGATAAAACTTAGTGATTCTGAGGTAAATGTGTGTCCAAGACGCGTCAAACACGGATTGGGTGTACAATTTGAGTGGAAATTATGATCACTGTTCGCTCCCGCATCTATCTGCGCTGTGTGCTTGTTTTGTTTGTTTTGTTTGTTTTGTTTGTTTTGTTTGTTTGTTACAGTAGTTAGTGTTTTACGGCACTGTTGAGTCAGTTTTGTGTGCCTCCAGTTTAACTATGAAAACAATTCAATGATGTTATAAGTATGGAAATGTAAGATGGGCATGAAAAGAAATCGACCAAGAAGCACATGGGTTTGTCTTAAATATTTACTCAAAACACAGACATGAATTGGAAGAATACTACACTATTTCGGTTACTGCACCTTCTGTCACGTTCCGTGTTCAAAACAGCTCTTTCTTTATCAAGTTTTATGTGCGAGATATTATGAGTGTCTTTCGAGATAACATTTTCAAACTCCTCAGAAAAAAACAAGGAATTGTTGACTGAATTTCAGTGTAACTTCTTCTAAAGATAGACGTCATACCTTGAATTTACTTTTTTTTAAAATCTTGCCTGTGCCCTGGTGTCAAGAGAGGAAACGATGAATGATCACAGGAGAGAACACAGTTGTCGAAGAAGTCTACCTAACCCCCGGACAATAAAAAATTGATAATTTCCGCTTTACCTGTTTTAAGACAGTGGGCCACGCCATACGACATTGCAAACTCGCACGATGTAAAGAACTCAATCAAAACTCAAATTACATTGCTGCTTTTGTTTGTTTGTGTTTGATTTATCCTTTTGAATAATAGTTGTAGTTTCCAAAGTTCAACACACGTTGTTGTGGTTTAAGCCCAAGCGGTGAAGTAGATCTAATAGTTCCGGGCTAAGTTGATGCTTTTTCCTGGGAAACCCTTGTTGTGAATATAGAAGTCTTGTCGGTGCCGCATTTTGCGTGTGATGTGAGAATAAACAGTGGGTGTCTGTTTCCGTGCCAAGTCAATGTGTGAGAAGGACTTTAAGGACTATTAAAATAATGTGCGCAAGTGAAAAGCTTCATATAATTTAGTTACATTAGATCTAGATCTATGTTGGAGAAACGTTTTTACTTTTTACTCTTATTGATTCCATCCCTACTCTCACCTTTTTTTTCATTGGTTACCTATTTATTTTTTTATATTTCAAAGCAGGAAGGGATTTAAAAATCTAAAATCAGAGGAAATCTGAACATTTACATCCTTGAAAATATCACAGTCCTTCGACGTTGTCAGATGACTTTTCCTCGGCATTTGATCACTTGTTAGAAAGCACTAACTTTGATCACTTGTTGGAACGTATTAACTTACAAGGAAGTACTCACATCACAGGTTTCGATAGTCCAACACATTGTCTTAGCCAATACCGGCACGATGAAGGGAAATATTTCTAAACAATATCAACATCCTTACAGCACTCGATAGACGAGCATCGCTTCACTGTTGGCCCGAGTTCAAATTCAAAGCGAAATATGGCAATGTGCTTCCTTCAAATTTGGAACCAGAACGATATTTCATTCGACGCTAGTCTATCAGAGTATGCATTGTATGTTTTTAATAAAAGGTCTGCTTTGATGATTTTTTTTCAATTTGAAATTCATTAAGTTAATTTTAAAAAGCTAACAATATTGATGCTCTATATCGTATTTCAATTAACCGAAATCATTTACATTTCTGGAATCAGCATATTGTACTAAGAAGTCTGCTGATACACAATAATCAACACATCTATATCTACTGGAACCAAGCTAAGTATGTATGCCCATAAGTGGCAGACGATAAACTGGTCCCGTTTCGTAAAAAGACCATGAAATGAGTCATTCGGAGAGATTGTATTGCCGATAAAACAAAGACCTGGAATCGAGAGATAGCGGCAGAAGTCGCGAGTCGGACCTTTCTTACTCCCTGTCCCCCTAGAAATTTTTATCGCTTTTTGGGCAATGTAGTTGTACGGTCAAACACATCAGATAACGAGAGTAGTGGGGCCATATTGATAGGGAGGTTATGACTGTGATAAATCAGCCTTCATTACTGCCTTTTGGGAACGGTTGATAAAGCTAGGAGGATAGATAGCATGGAATGCCAGGCGGAGGGCAGCAGTCGGGAGAGATAGGACGGATAAGGGGAGCAGAGCAGAGCAGAGCAGTTGCCAACAGACGACAGATAGCGAGCCAGGCTAGAGGAAGGAAGGAAGGAAGCTACAGTTCTCTCCAAACTCACTGGACATTTCCAGTCTGGGAGGCACGTCGTAGACTCACTCACTCACAGATGGGCGGAGGAAGGAACGAAGGAGGCTTGTAGGATAGGCCCGCACTGCCAGCTTCCTAGCTAGATCTACATCGGCTCGACTTACGGAAGGGAATTACTAACCGAACGAACAAAGCCGAAATTTTACTTTATGTCTCAGGCTCTGGATCGACGAACACGCGGTGAGAGACATACGAATATCATGTTACACACAGACAGATAGACGGAGAGAGAGGGATGAGGAATTGGCTGGAAACACTTACAATATGGATGGACGCATCCCGTGTAGCACTTTCCTCGGAAGGACAAGCTTGAAGATCACACAAATATTAGGTTTCAGCTACAGGGACAGGCCCCCTCATTTGCATAAATCACCACCACCATGCGCAGTAGCGCGACCACAACACGTAGCAGCCAACGAGAGGAAGGAAGCTTGCGCTGGGAAAAGTAGTCCTCCGGGTTTCCAGTGGCCAGCAAAAATTGGCATCGAACGGAAAAGCAGAATCAAAACACAAGCTATCCACGGTTTTTTTGGGGGGACTCCTCTGGCAGACAAAGATAATAAAATTCCGTGGGTATGTGGATTGGTGACCTACCCCAAATTATCAGCCAAGTTTTGTCAACAGAGTTTCTGTGCCTGCAGATAAGATAGGCGCGCCTCTGGGTTGTAAAGATTGTAGAGAGAGAGAGAGGGAGGGAGAGAGGGCGGCGAGATACCATAAACTGCTCGCGTTACACCTCAGCCTGTTGGGCCTCGTTTTCCTTCTTGGAGCAGTGACGTCACTGATAACGTGAGCCCGGACATGCGCAGACAGGGTTTGGGAGAGGTTGACAGCAGTAGTCCAATCTGCAACAGTTTCAAAGTGTCACATGTTTATGAGTTTTGTAGCACGCAAAGGGGGGACCCCAGCCGAATCTAGGCCACGCCACCACCGCCACCACTACCACCAGCAGCCATAAGCCCTGCTGTTGGGAGATATCACTTGGTGGTTGCTTCTGTGTAGGATCCGGCTACAAGAGTGTTCTCCCCTTGTATATATCTGAACACATAAACACGAGATCTTCCCCTCCGATCCGCAATGAAATGTACGTACTTAAACTGCACTAAACACTGCGACCCGTTGATCTGTATTGTTTTGGTAAGTGTTTTACGGCACTTGCAACACAATAAGGTCATATACGTGCCGAACATTAGAGGTGTTACAAGAGAGAAACAAACACAAAATAGAAAGAGGGGAGAAAAAGGACGATAGAGATAGATGTTTGATAGGACAGAAGGAGCAAACCACACCGGAGCACCCACCAACCACCTGCTGCAACAAGAGTGTTCTCCCTTTGTCTATATATATCTGAACACATAAACACGAGATCTCCCCCCC